AGTTAAGCTGGGGAGCTCGTCAGGAAGTACATCTGAGCCTGAGGTTCAGGGGAGAGGCCAGCACTGGAAATAAGAAGTTGGAAGTCACGGACGCACAAAGCCATGGCGCTGGCTGAGACTCCTCCTAGAGCAAGTGCACACAGAGAAGAGGCCCTCAGAGGGGCATCCCGGGGCTCACCAGCATTAGGGGTCAGGACGAAGAGGAGAAATTGGCACAGTGGCACGGAGTGCCGGAGAGGCAGGAGGAATTCCAGAGGAGAGCAGTCTCCGGGAAGCCGCGGGAAGAGTGTGTAGGCGAGGTAGGAATCTGGTGTCCAATCCCTTCTCTTTAGGCCAAGTCAGATGCGTGCTGAGAACCAGCCATTGGGCTTGGCAGCCTAGTGCTGCGGGTGATGTGATGGGGACCAAGACATGATTGGGGCGGCGGCACATGTAGTAGGCACAATGCTTTCAAGTTTTCTGTCAAGTAGAGCAGAGAAAGGTTGGTAGCTGGGAAAGTCATATGGTTAGAGGGTGTTTTGTGTATTTGAAGGCGGAGCTATTCCAGCATGTGAGTGTGATGGGGGCAGGGGCAGCTGATCCTGCTGAATAATCCAGCAGAGAGGGGGCAACGGGAGAAGCAGTTGCATACTGATCACTAGACAACAGTATCGCTAGACCACAGTATCACTAGACAACACTATCACTAGACAACAGTAGCACGCCCTGGGGCTCCCTGAGGAAGCTCTTTTTCCATTTCTCTGTAGCCACGTTTTACTTCTTGGAAAATTCCAAAGTGTGTCCTCATCTGTCCTGCTCTCCAGATGGCTCTGTTCTCTTCCCAGCTTCACTGTCTGTGACCTGGAGTCACCCACTGAGGATGCCAGCTGGGCCGGGTCATTCCAGAGCCTGCCTTCCAAGCTTCCCTTGTGCCTAGTGTGTGGACCTGGAGCTGCCGGCCTCAGTGCAGATTCCGAGTGCAGACCCCGGCTCTCCCATGATGCGGCTTTAGCAGCTTCCTCTGGCTCTTGGTGCTTTGCTTTCCTCCTCTGCAAATGGAGATAATGAGCTCACCTATGTCACAGGGTTTTCTAGAGGAAAACGTTTGAAGTACTAAGAACGGCTTTCAGAACACTCTGAAGGGTTTAGCTGGTACTGTCGTTGCTGTCCGTGCAGGAAGCTGTGCCTGGAGTAGGCTTTCTAAGACACGCGAGTGCTACGGGGTGAAGTGTGGGGGTCCAGTCTCCCCAGGCAGCCTGTGCCAGGAAAGTTTACAGAGGCCCCCTGGCAAGAGCTGTCTCTCCACCTCATTTTACTTGTTGAAACCCTGAAATGATTTAGGGAAGAGAAGCAGCAGCAGCATCTCATAGTGGGAAGATTTCAGTATTAATGTCTAATTCAACCTCCAACTGTATTCACAAGTCCAGCACTTCTGACATACCTCCTCTTCCAAGAAGCCCACTGCCTTCCACAGCACATCATCATTCTTCATCAGTGCGAGAAAGTTCTTCCTCCCAGTGAGCTAAAAGCACCTCCCTTTCACTCTCCAACTCCCATCTTCGTTGTCTCAGCCCAGTTAAACACTTCCTCTGAGGCCACATAACCAGGTACTTGCCTCTACCCTTGAGTCTTGGAGACAGTGACCTTATTTCTTGTCTTTTCTTCTCCAAGCTGTAGTCTGGAGCCTGTGGAGTAGGCAGGTACTGGCACCTCCCCGGTGAGATCTCAACTAACATAACCTAATGTCTAGTCACATGGTCTCACATTGAAGCAAGAATCCCCACCCCGGGGATTGTCACGTTGGTTGCTGCTAAGTAACATGCCCATTCTCGGCTTGCACTGGGGGACCCTGAATGCAGGATTTTATGAATCAGAGTCATGGGCTCGAAATACACGAAATTTCAGGGTTAGCCCTCGCTTTAGGCAAAGCCTGACCCAGCAACTCAACTGATGTTACTAAGGGCTCTGTTTCTTTTGCCATCATCTTTGGACTCTATCTGTAGCCCCCAGAATCTCCGGGCGGTCCCCTCAGAGTCACGACTTCCCGCCTCGTCCGTCCTCAGACCCTGCACCCCGAAACAGTCAGAGAAGGAGGTCTGCGAGAGAGGACGCCTGCTGTCCAGAAACCGTGCAGACGCTCCTTGGGCTTCATTAGCTACTCGTGCAGCCCTGGGCCAATCACGGTGGCTGGGGTGGGGTTATGCTGATGAGCCATGGGAGGGCCCGCGGGGAACTGCCGGTCTCAGTGCCACCTGGAGGCGCTGCAGGGCTGCCCGGCGGCCGTGCCCCGTCTGGGGCTGCACGCGCTGCAGGTTGGCTCACCTCTTGAGCTCGCCAGCTCCCCAGGTGTCCAGTTCACGGGACGGAGCCCCCACCCGGGGCCCGCGCCCTTCACCTGCTCTGCCTCTCCGCTGGGCCTCGCAGCAGTCACACGGATCAGCCACCGGGAGCGGTCCCCGCCTACCCCTCCTGGATGCTGTGGTGCTTCCACCTGCGCAGTGTGAGACCCAGGAAGGGGCTGTGGCTCCGAAAAGCAGCTCCCTAGCAGGGGGACAGGGGTCTTTGTGTTCCAGTAATTTTTGGTCCTGGAAGTCCACTCATAGAGTATAAAATGGGGATGCTTAGGCCAGGTACGGTGGCCCACGCCTGTAATCCCAGCACTTTGGGGGGCTGAGGCGGGCAAATCACCTGAGGTCAGGAATTCGAGACCAGCCTGGCCGACATGGCGAAACCCCATCTCTACTAAAAATACAAAAATTAGCCGGACGTGGTAGCGGGCGCCTGTAGGCCCAGCTGCTTGGGAGGCTGAGGCATAATAATCGCTTGAACCTGGGAGGTGGAGGTTGCAGTGAGCCAAGATTGTGCCACTGTACTCCAGCCTGGGTGACAGATCAAGACTCAGGGTCTCAATAAATAAATAATAAAAATAAAAATAAAATGGAGACTCTGGAGATTGAAAAATAAAGCTAAAATGTATGAAAATGAGTCATCACACTATTTAATAAAAGGTGATCTTTTCAGCCATTTCATTCGTTTTTTTGTTTTTTGTTTTGTTTTGTTTTGTTTTTTTTAATTTGGAGTCTCACCCTGTCATCCTGGCTGCAGTGCAGTGGTGTGATCTCGCTCACAGCAACCTCCACCTCCTGCGTTGGGTTCAAGCGATTCTCCCTTCACAGGCTCCTGAGTACCTGGGATTACAGGTGTGCACCACCACGCCTGGCTAATTTTTGTATTTTTAGTAAAGACAGAGTTTTACTATTTTGGCCGGGCTGGTCTCCAACTCCTGACCTCAAGTGATCCACCCACCTCGGCCTCCCAAGGTGCTGGGATTACAGGTGTAAACCACCACGCTTGGCCTAGCCATTTCATTCTTAAAAAAAAAATAATTCCCATGACTGGAGTACAGTGCTCTCATTCTTAGACCAAACACAGAATGATTTAGGACTGATTATTCCTTTTAGAGTCATTTTTCCAACAAAACTCTGTGAGAACACAATGGTGCACCTTTTCCTTTATGGTTTTTGTTTTTTTGTTTTTGGAGTTGTTTTTTGTTTTTTGTTTTTTTGCAGCTTTATCACGAGGAGGGTCCTTTTTGCAAAACTATTTCAGGCCTTTGTTGGCTTTTCTTCTTCTTCTTCTTTTTTATTTTGAGACTGAGTCTTGCTCTATCGGTAGGCTGGAGGGCACTGGCATGATCTGGGCTCACTGCAACCTCCCAGGTTTAGGCAATTCTCCTGCCTCAGCCTCCCAAGTAGCTGGGATTATAGGCATGCGCCACCATACTCAACTATTTTTTTATATTTTTAGTGGAGACAGGGTTTCACCATGTTGGCCAGACTGGTCTTGAACTCCTGACCTCAGGTGATTAACACGCCTCAGCCTCCCAAAGTGCTAGGATTATAGGATTCTGTCTTTTTTTCTTAAAAAAAAAAAAAAGTGCAGTGGCTCATGCCTGTAATCCCAACACTTTGGGAGGCCAAGGCAGGCAAGTTGTCTGAGCTCAGGAGTTCAAGACCAGCGTAATCAACATGGTGAAACCTTGTCTTCACAAAAATATACAAAAATAAGCTGGGTGTAATGGTACCTACCTGTAGTCCCAGCTAATTGTGGGGCTGAGGTGGGAGGATCGCTTGAGCCCAGGAGGTCTAGGCTGCAGTGAGCCAAGACCACACCATAGCACTCCAGCCTGGATGATAGACCCTATCTCTTAAAAAAAAAAAAAAGTAGCAAAACTTTCCCTATAAGGGCTGGGCACGGTAGCTCACGCCTATAATCCCAGCACTTTGGGAGGCCGAGACGGATGGATCACAAGGTCAAGAGATCGAGACCATCCTGGTCAACATGGTGAAACCCTGTCTCTACTAAAAATACAAAAATTAGCTGGGCATGGTGGCGCACGCCTGTAATCCCAGCTAATCAGGAGGCTGAGGCAGGAGAATTGCTTGAACCCAGGAGGCGGAGGTTGCGGTGAGCCGAGATCGCGCCATTGCACTCCAGCCTGGGTAACAAGAGCAAAACTCCATCTCAAAAAAAAAAAAACAAAAAACAAATCCCCTATAAGAAGAAGTCCAGAGGTGGGTGGCCCTAGGACTGGTGGACTCAGCAGCTAAAAGACGTTAAGGCTTTTGTTCAACTACTCAGTAATTCTTTCAGACATTTTCTTCTGGTCACAAAATGGCTGCTGCAGCTCCAAACATCACATTCTCACATGACAATGTCTAAAGGCAGGAAGGAAGGGGCATTTCCTTTCCTAGAGCTTTTATTTATTTATTTATTTATTTTATAAGGATGAAAATCTGTTCCAGAAGCTTTTGCCTTGAGTCTCATTGGCTAAAACTGGGTTCCATGCCTGTGTCCTAGCTGCAAGGAATGCTGGGAATCTGAATATCCAGCACTTCCTCCTGGACTGTGAGAAGCTGACTCTGCCAGGGTGAAAATGGCTGTTCATAGAGGGCTTGCCCATGTAGAGTAGGGAGTGGAAGGGTCCCGTACTCTCCTCCTTCACACCTGTATCTCTGCAGGTCAGAGGCCTCCCAGCCCCCATCCCTCCAGCGAGCCAGCCCAGAGCCAGGAGACAAGAGTAATGAACCTGAGGATGCTGGGACCAGAGACCCAGACCCAACTCCAGAGGGAGCCTGGCAGTCAGACAGCAGGTCCGGGAGCAGAGCCCTGGATGAAGGTTTGTCCCTGTGTGTCCAGTCTTCCTGCCAGGCTCATGGTCCCTCCGCTGTGCCCAGCCCTGCTCTCAGGGGCCTGTCTGCATCCATGCTACCACCAACCTCCAAAGAGAGCCGACTCCTGCCAGCTACTCAGGCTGTGCTGGGGCCCTTTTCCCCAGCCCCACCATCCTAAGAACTTGGGCTTGGAGAATCTGGCGGGTGTAGAGCCATCAGGAGGGAAGGAGGGGACTGATCCCTGGGGAGTCAGAAAAGCCAAGACAACACCTGGTGCTCACCTGGCTCAGCTGTTCGCAGGTGGCTGGGGCCTCGACCACCTACACACACTCTCAGATCGCCTCACCTGCCCCTGCCTCAGACACTAGGACAGTGTTAATGACCGTAACAACAATGACACCACCCCCCCCCCCCCCGCCCCACAGGAACCCAACACCAGGAATTCTCAGAATAAAAAACACAAAACAAATGGTCAATAATGGAAACACACTCACACAATCGAAAAGTCATGAAACAGTCACCTCGACTCTGGCTGTTTGGTCTAGGATACTTTTTACTAAGTTAGAACAGAAGAACCTTGAGCATACCCAACGGGGAAAAGCCAGGCTGAATGTCTGGTGCCCAAGGTCAGGATACCCCGAGGCAGACAGATGTTCCCAAACCTGCCAGGTGCCGGGGTCACCTTTAAAAGCACAGATGCAGGCCGGGCACGGTGGCTCAAGCCTGTAATCCCAGCACTTTGGGAGGCCGAGGCGGGTGGATCACGAGGTCGAGAGATCGAGACCATCCTGGTCAACGTGGTGAAACCCCGTCTCTACTAAAAATACAAAAAATTAGCTGGGCATGGTGGCGCATGCCTGTAGTCCCAGCTACTCAGGAGGCTGAGGCAGGAGAATTGCCTGAACCCAGGAGGCAGAGGTTGCGGTGAGCCGAGATCGTGCCATTGCACTCCAGCCTGGGTAACAAGAGCAAAACTCCGTCTCCAAAAAAAAAAAAAAAAGCACAGATGCAGGCTGGACGTGGTCGCTCACACCTGTGATCGCAGCACTTTGGGAGGCTGAGGCTGGCAGATCGCTTGAGCTCAGGAGTTCAAGACCAGCCTGGCAACATGGCAAAAGCTGGTCTCTACCAAAAATACAAACAAATTAGCCCAGAGTGGTGGCACACGCCTCTAGTTCCTTGGGGAGGCTAAGGCAGGAGTATCACTTGAACCTGGGAGGTCGAGGCTGCAGTAAACCGAGATTGTGCCACTGCACTCCAGCCTGGGTGACAGACTGAGGCTCTGCCTCAAAAAAAAAAAAAAAAAAAAAGAAAGAAAAAGAAAAAGAAAAACACGGCTGGCCAGGCCCACCCCCGATCTCTGCATGTGATTCTCTGGGGCAGTCGGGGCGTGAGGGGATCATAAGCCTGGTTTTGTTTTTGACAGCTGTATCAGTTGGGACATCGTTTGTCTTCCAATGTCAGATAATTCAGTACAAATCGGCTTAAGTTAAAAGAGACTGTGTTGGTTCACGTAACTTAAAAGTCCACACAGGCTTCAGGCACAGCTGAAATAGCAGCAGCGCCGCCATCTGGACGCCTGGCCCTGCGCTGCTCTACGGTGATTCATTTCACAGCGGGCACTCCCCTCACAGTGGCAAGATGGCCACCAGCAGCCCCAGGCCCGTCCTCCCAACTCCCAGGCCAGAGGCATGGAGAGCATTTCTCTTCCCTGCAAGTTTTAAGTTCAAGTCTTGGGCTGACTCCAGTGGCTCCCACTGGGTCCCTTGCCCTTCCTGAACTGGTCACAGAGGAGGCTACACTCAGCCTGGCTGGGTCTGCCTCAAGTGCCCCTGGAGCTTGGTGGACCAGAAAAGGAGGGAGTGAGACTCCCCTGGGGATGGGGATGGGGATGGGGACTGAGGTCAGACAGCAGAACACTGGGGGGCCACACGGACCCCCCCCACCCGCCACCTGCGGGCTTCCTGATGCTGAGGCAGGCAGGAGCCCACCACCAAGGCCCAGCAACATTGGGGAACCATAGGCAGTCACATGCGCCACACCCCTTTCCTCCACATTACCCCAAATGCTAGACACCTGCAGTTCCCTGAGCACTGAAAATCTGTCCATCTTGGTGCCCATACTGTGAGAAGCCCACCCCAGCTCCTACGAGACTAGCTTGGCCTTTCCTGACTAGAGTTGCCACGGCCTAAAATGGAAATAACACCTCTGAGACCACAGACAGGGCCTGGCTTGTGTCATCTTAGAAAACAGGGAAGAAGGGCCGGCCAGGCGCAGTGGCTCACACCTGTAATCCCAGCACTTTGGGAGGCAGGCGGATCACAAGGTCAAGAGATCAACAGCATCCTGGCCAACATGGTAAAACCCTGTCTCTACTAAAGATACAAAAATTAGCTGGGCGTGGTGGCATGTGCCTGTAGCCTCAGGTACTCGGGAGGCTGAGGCAGGAGAATCGCTTGAACCCAGGAGGCAGAGGTTGCAGTGAGCCAAGATCACACCAGCTGAGATCATGCCATTGCACTCCAGCCCTGGCGACAGTGTGAGACTCCGTCTCAAATTTAAAAAAAAGAAACCAGTGAAGAAGCAGGCATAGTGCTCATGCCTGTAATCCCAACACTTTGGGAGGCTGAGACAGGAAGATCACTTGAGCCCCAGAGTTTGAGGCTGCGGTAAACTATCATCACACCATTGTACTCCAGCCTGGGTGACAGAGTGAGACCCTGTCTCCATTTAAAAAAAAAAAAAAAGGAAGGAAGTAAAAGAAGGCATCCCTCTCCGTGTCCCTGTGTAAGTTCCAGGAAAGGGCTCTAACTGGCCAGCTTCCCTCCTGGGCTGGTTACATTACAGCGAGACAGAACCAGCCTTGGTGGCCTCACTGCACCGGAGCCTGGGACAGCGGGGGTGGCTACCTGAAGGAGTGGGACATGGCCCCAGAGCCCTCCTCTCTGGCTGCGCTGCACACATGCCCCCTGGGGAGGGATGCCTGGTTCCCCACCCTCTGTCCTTCGTCCCCACATCTTGTGCTTCCCCAGCAGCTGACGACCAGCTGTTCCGTTCTGTGGAGGGCCAGGCCGCCTCTGACGAGGAGGAAGAGGAACAGGAGAAGAAGTGGCAGGAGGAGCAGAGGACACCAGCAGCCGAGGTCAAGTCACTGCTGGCCCGGCTCTCCGGCTGCGGAGGCAGGTGTGTGGTCCCTCCAGGGTCAGCCACGGTGGGCCTCAGGTTCTAGAGGTGTCCAGGGAAGCCCAGAGCACCCGGGAGGCTGGTTGGCCTGGCTCAGCCACCTCCCAGCCCCTCTGTGGCTCTGTCCCCTTGTCCCTTAGGGGGAGGTGGGAAGGCCCGCCAGCATGTAGAGGATTAAGTGGGATGACCTTCCATTGCACAGCTCATGGCTGGCTTGAATTCCCATTCATGCCTTCTCACCAGCATCTGCACTGGACCTCTCGTGGCGCTCCCAGACACCAGTGTCCCTCTCAGACCCTTCCCCAACCCGTCACCCCCAGCCACACACCGTTTTCACTGCTTTCCAGCCTGGTCCCGGACAGGTACTGGCTTATCCATTCCCTGTTCCATCCTCACTTCCACCCTGGCGGAGACTGAGGACAGGCTCAGGACACCTGGGACGCCTCAAACAAGTCGCCTGGCTTCTCTGAGCCTCAGTCTTCTCATCGCTAAGATAAGATGGTGACACTTGTGTGGCCAAGGCTCTGTGAGGATTTGAGGTCAAAGAGACACAATGCCTGACAGGTGTCTGGCGCACAGTACGTGGGAACACCCGTGGGGGCAACAGTTGTTATTGGATGGTAAAATGCTGTTGATTTTCTGAGATTGTTGTTACCACCAATTCTTCATGTCAACAACAAGCACTTATGAAGCACCCACTGCATGCCAGGCAAAATCTGAGGCACAGGGAAAATCGCAGTACATCAGTCAGTGGCCGACTCTCCCGGATCCTCTAGCAAGGGTGACAGGCATGAGGAAGAGAGGTCACAGGGGCAGGGACAGAGGCGGGGCAGGGAGATGCAGGGAAGCCCTCTCTGAGCAGAGCCCTGAAGGATGCAAGGGAAGAGCATTCTAGGAAGAGGGAAGAGCAGGTGCAGAGGCCCTGAGCATATCGGAGGGTCCGCCAGGAGGCCACTGGGGCCGGAGCCGCGTGGGTCAAGGTGGATGGGAGGGAAGATCAGAGAGCTCATCGGGCAGATCAGCTGAAGCCTTTGGCTTTTCCCCAGAGTGAGATGGGGGCCGCGGGAGGTGCTGAGCAGATGGGTGCTGTGGCCTGGCTTTGCTTTCAGATGCTGACTCCACACCACCACCCCCTCTCCGAGGCTGGACAGAGCGGGTTCTGGAAGCAGTTCCCTGCAATGTGGGCCCTCTCCTTTGCTGCAGGTGTGATGACCAGACGGCAGAGAAGCTCATGACTTACTTTGGCCACTTTGGCGGTGCCGACCACGCCCGAACCCTGGGGGAGTTGGAGGCCTGCGTTGCCATGCTGGTGGAGCAGCCAGGGACTCAGGGCTGCGGTGGGAGGACCCTGGGGACCTCTGGGGAGGAGGTCAGCAGAGCCCAGAGATCAAGGACTGGAGCAATTCTGGAGGATCTCACAGCTGGAAGGGTCTGAGGGATCACAGCCACATCTTGTGCCCCATTCCCAGATGAGTAAACCAAGGCCCAAAGGGAGGTTTAAATTTAAATCAGCCTCCTCTGATTTAAATATAATAAAAAAATCTTTTGGTTGCAAATTAAAGGATCCCACCTCAGATTAGCTTGATTGTAAAACAGGAATTTAGTGGGACATGGAGCTGAGAACAAGAGATGGTATGAGCTTCAGGCACAGCTGGGTCTAGGGACTCAGACCAAATTGTCTCCAACTGTCTGCTGTGTTTTTCTGGAGGAGGTGGCCTCACTTTCCCCCTACTTCAAAAGGGCTTACTCCATATGATGGGGGAAGGGACGGCAGGACCATTAACAGCCTTAGACTTCCATCAGCCCACGTGGGAAGCCCTCATGGGAAAATGAGTCTCCCTTCTAGCACATGAAATCTCAGGGAGGAACTCTGATTGGTCACCTCGGTCATGTGCCCATCCCTGGGCCAATCCCTGTGGTGGTGGGGCGGGTTCAGTGATTGGCATTGCCACCAAAGTCAGAGGACGTGGAGGAGGGGCAGTTTCCCAAAGAAAAGGGAGTGTGGTGGCAAGAAGAGGGGGAGGGAGGCTGGGCATCCAGCTGTCTCCATTTCAATAAGACCACTTCGCATTTCTCATTCTCTCTACCCTGTAGGAACTTCTCTATTCCACAGTAGCCAAGTGTGCAATGCTGTTGAAAGTTGTCATTGCACTAAGCCCGAGTCCACTGTACTTTTACAAACTGATTTTGACATCAAATAGTTTTGAATTTATACATCTGAAATTCTAAGTCTATACTGCTTTTTACAGAGAGGCCGCATATGTATGGCCTGATGAAGTCCTAGTTCCTTAAATAACTTTTTAAAATGATGCCAGCTGACTTGTACAACCCATTGAGCCACATCCTCAGTGCTGATGTGCTTTGTCTTATTTTATGCTCAAAGGACCCAATGACGTAGGAAACGGTTTGAGAGAGGTCAGGTGGGCTGGGCTGGGCGCCCGTGCCGCATCCACGCCAGTGTGCCCCCCTTCAACCAAGGCAGCCACACCGCTGCGCCCTGAGGCCAGGGGTTGAGTCACGGGAGGCAGGAGGGAGCAGAGGGGCCTGTTTGGGCTCCAGCCTCTTAGTGCAGGAAATCAGAGACCAAGACAGAAAGCAGCAGGCCCTGGAGCGCTGCAGTAGATTGGACAAATGGACAAACACCAGGACCATGCACACATTCTGCTGAAAAGCGCAAAAGGAAACAAAGTTGAATGTCATTACACGGCAAGCCAGTGTGGCTGCAGCTAAACCTTCCAGTGAGATCAGGTCTGCACCACTTTCAGCTTCTGGAACCCCTGCACTGGGGTAGGGGCACCCCTCACTTACTCCCCAGAGAAGGCTGCTAATTAATGCCAAGCAGCATGGCATGACGGTTATGTGCTGGAGCCAGACTGCTGGGATTCAAATCCTGACTCCACTGCCTGTGTGACCTTGGAAAAGTTACTCAGCTCTTCTGTGCCTCAGTTTCCTCATCTGTGAAATGGTCATAATAATGGTATTATTCTACATGTATCGAACAGGCGAACACTTGTGGTGAGCGCTCAGCAAATCCGCGCCGTGGCGGTCCCTCTTTCTAGCAATCTTCTGTGTTGTGCAGGTCTCCTGGGCTGAAAGTTGTTTCTACATTTTCTCCACCTCCACTCTGCTTTCCTGGAGGCCTTGATCTTGCCTGCCCAGGCACCTCAGGAAAGTCACAGCCTCTGTGGCTGGGGAGGGTGCAGTGCTGTGGGCCGCCAGGAAATAAACTGGCAGTCACAAAGCTCTGAAGGGCGTAGCCACCACCCCTTTTCTAAGAACATTTCAAGGAAAGAGGGGGCTTGGAGGATCCCTGAATTAGCCGGCCTTCCAGTCCCATCCCTAGCGAGTGGGGGCACTGGGCCTTCCCTCCTCCTGCCCAAGCCCAGAGTAGATCCTGAGCACCCTGGGGCAGCACACTTTCCACTGCTTCTCTTTCCCTCCATTGGTGCCAGGGGAAGGGACTGCCTTGTGCCTGGCATGCCTGTTTTAGAAGGCAAGAGGCCATATAGCACTTTGTGACTGCCGGACATCCTAGTGTTACCTAGTGGGACTGATGTTTTTGGTGGCCCTCTTGGCCAAGAGTGGGTCCATGACTCCAGCTGGGCCAACCAGGCCCCTCTCCTGGGGCTCTCTGTACCAGGGGTTGGGGATGGCTGGAGAGGGTCCTCAGCTGTGACTCTTGGACAAGAGCCTTGGGACACTCCCACTGTCTCAACGCTGTCCCATTCCTGAAGTTCTCCAGCTGCCAGTCCATTCTGGGATCTGCCCACTAGCCTACCGTAAATTTCCTCTCTGTGTAAACCAGCCAGATTGGTTTTCGCTGCTTGCCACCAAAGCTAATTTATTAAAAAGAAACAAAAGCAGAGAAGAGAAGGGAGAATGGAGTTCTTAGACTAGGAAACAAAATACACAACTCTTATATCAGTCTAACCCGCTGTGTGGCTTTAGGCTACACACTCAGCTTCTCTGGGCCTCAGACTAGCCTCGGGGAGATAGAGTAGACCAGCAAGGCAAGCACTGAGCCCCTCTCTCTCCCCAGGCAGAGCTGCAGCAGAAGGTGGAAGAGAACGAGCACCTGAGGCTGGAGCTGCAGATGGTGGAGACCGAGAGGGTACGGCTGTCCCTGCTGGAGGAGAAGCTGGTGGATGTGCTGCAGCTCCTGCAGAGGCTCCGGGACCTGGTAGGCTCATGGGAGCTGGCACACTCAGGGAAGGGAAAGGAGCTCTCAGGAGGGAGCCCGCGCTGTGTCCGGCACCAGGCTCTAGGCTCTCCTCACAGTAGGCGGCTGTTATCCCATTTTACAGATGCAGAAATGGAGGCTCAGGGAAACCAATCAAAAATAGGGTGAGGGAAGCTACCCAGGTCATTTTTATGAGGCTAATAAAACTCTTGTATGTGTCCTTTTCTGGGTCTCTTCTCAAAACCAGAAGAGGATAAATAGAAGAAAGACAAGAAAGGAAAATTATAAACTAACATGACATTTAAACATGGATACAAAACTATTAAATACAACACTAGCAAACTAAATCTGGCAGTGTTTAAAGAAATGCAACATGACCAAATTGGACTTATCCTAGAAATGCAACGATGATTCCGTATCAAAAATCTATTGCCAAAATACACCACATTGCAAATTAAAGGAGAAAGACCAGATGATCATCTCAACTGATGCAGAAAAGGAAGTCAATAAAATTCAATCTCCTTTGATTATAAAATCCCTCAGCAAATTAAGAATAGTAGGGATCTTCCTTCACCAGATAAGGACTCTCAACCAAATACTTCATGCAGCTCTCACACTGACTGGTGACATGTTCGGAGGAATCCCCCTAAAATCAGATGTGGCTGGGCGTGGTGGCGCATGCCTGTAATCCCTGCACTTTGGGAGGCCAAGGTGGATGGATCGCTTGAGCTCAGGAGTTCAAGACTAACTTGGCCAATATGGTGAAACCCCATCTCTACAAAAAAAAAGAATATTGGCTGGGCACTGTGGCGTATGCCTGTGGTCCCAGCTACTCAGGAGGCTGAGGTGGGAGGATCATTGCAGTCCAGGAGGCAAAAGTTGCAGTAAGCTGAGACTGTGCTGCTGCACTCCAGCCTAGCTGACAGAGTAAGACCTTATCTCAAAAAAAGAGTGAAATTAAATTAAAATTAAAATCAGACTCATCACTGTTTTCATGGGAAGCAGAGTTTCCAGCCACTGCAGCAGAAGGAAGAAGAAAGGCTATAGAGATTAGAAAGAGGAAGACCCAGGTTTTCCTGTGGGGCTCCGAAGTGACCTCTTCCCTGTACATCGGGCTGCCTGGGACCCAAGGCTGCCAAGGTCCAGCCTAATGTCAAATATCCTGGGCAAGCAGAGACCTGGGGATGGGCCCTGAGAGACCAGTGCTAGCCCAGGCAGGGAAGGGCAGTGGTTCCCAGCAGAGGCCATGGGCCATGCAGCCTCAGGGTAGATGATGTGTTCCTTCCACCTCCCAGCTGGATGGCTTTGGCAAACTTTGGATTCTTTCCCAGCATTGCTTTTCTCTGTTGGTTAAAATGAACATAATTAAAATAAAGTCAAAATGAGCAAATGCATAAAAATGCTCTTAGCCAGGGTTATTTCCCAGTGCCTACCTGGGCACAGATGGTAATCTTTATGTACGTGAACCTGCCCACTGCCCCACTCACCCTCCAAGAGTCTCTGGGAAATGCAGCGTGGCCAGCCTAGGGGTAGGGGGCCAATAAGGGAATGAGGGTTGGGGAGGGGCTTTATCCATCCCCAGGGAGCTACTCGGAAGCCCCTAGGGGCCACTGGGTCCCATCGACTGAACAGAGACACAGCCACCAGTCTGATCCAGCTCTGTCTCCATTTCTTTTTAAGAACATATCGAAAAGAGCCCTGGGGAAGATTTTGCTGGGCACACTGGACTCTTTCAGGGACCCCACACACGGTAGGAGAGCACCCCAGTCTCTCAGAGCCCAGGCAGTGACTGGAGGGTGTCCTGAGGAGACTCCAGCATGCTCCGTCCTGAGCTTCGTCTGCTAAATAACCTCGTTATTCCTGCCCTGCATGCTTTAGAAAGTTGAAGGGGCTTTTACCAAGAGCAGAGGCACAGAAGCCCCAGGAAGAAGTGCCAGACAGAAGCCCAGTGAGGGGATAGGTGTGCGCCCACTGACAGCACTTCAGCCACATGCAGGGGAGACGCCCCAAGGGTTTTTCAACCCCTGAATCCTTACAATGGCCCTAGAAGGAAGGAGTTACCCACTTCCCACCGAGGAAGAGAGGAGGCACAGAGGTCAAGCACTAGCAGCGCCGAGGCTGGCGCACCTCCCCTAAGCACTCAGTAACTAACACAGCCCCGGTGTTCAGATGAAGTTCGGGGAGCAGAAGTGCAGGAGTGCCCGCTTATGCCTGCTGCAGCCAGGCCAAGCTCCCACCTCACAGGGCTTCACAGGTGAGCCCTTTGCTCGCTGACCTCCCCAGGTACCACTGGGCAGAGCTCAGGTGTGCCCACTGTCCTGAGCAGTCCCTGCCATTGAGGAGATCAGAAATTGTGTGCCCCAAGCCCCTTCTCTGGGGTCCTCAGGGGGAGGTGGTCCACCGATTGAGGAAGCTGGGCAGGGCAGGGGAGGGACACAGGGGCAAGAGTGGCTGGGTTTCAGGGAGGAGGGTCAGTGGCTCTGTGGGTGAAGGTTTGCAGACTGATCCTGCCCTCCCTGCCTGCTGTTTCCATCCAGAGGGGAGGCCCAGCCCCGCGGCCATCCTGGATGCCCTGCACCAAGCCTTGGCTGCCTGCGAGCTACTGCGGAGACAGCCCTCAGCACCAGCCTCTTCATCAGCTGCACTCACCAACCCCCTCCTTGTCTCCTGCTGAGGTTACTGGACTATATTGTGGGCACCCCGCTCAGCCTGACTGCCATTGGACCAGCCTCCGTGATCAGCCCAACCACTGACAGCCAGTCTGACCATTGTCAGATCATCAGAACTTGGGTCTCTGCTGGCTCCTTCCAAGGTTGAACCCAAGCCCACAGCCTCCCACTGCAGTGCCTGGCAGCCACCCCTTCCTTGGGCTCCTCCATATTCCCTCGCAGCCCCTGCATTACTGCCTCCAGAGTCTACATTAAAGCCTTGCAGTTGCTGGATCAGCCTGCACCCGATGCTGTCTCTCTCCTACCCTCAGAGCAGAGGTACCCACTTTCTGACAAAGTCTGAGCCCAAATTTCTTCTCCAGGCTTTCAGGATTTTCTCACCTCCCAGCACTGTCTCCTTCCTCTAACCAATGCCTGCTGCAAGCAAGACTGGGCCCAACCTCTGGGATACCTGGTCCATAGGGAAGCACGCCACACCCCAGGAAGTTGTTGATGACTAGGAAAGGCTGAGGGAATTCCAAGGAAGGAACGGTCACTGTAGGCTCCCTGGTAGAAGCTGGCCTTGAACCAGCTCTAGAAGTGAGGTAGAGGCAGGGCACAATAGCTCACGCCTGTAATTCCAGTACTTTGGGAGGCTAGTGCAGGTGGATCACAAGGTCAGGAGTTCAGCCTGGCCACGATGGAGAAACCCCATATCTACTAAAAATACAAAAATTAGCCAGGCACAGTGGCAGGAGCCTGTAATCCCAGCTACTCAGGAGGCTGAGGCAGGAGAATCGCTTGAACCAGGGTGACAGAGGTTGCAGTGAACCGAGATCGAGCCACTGCACTCCAGCCTGGGCGACAAGAGTGAGACTCCATCTCACTCAAATAATAATAATAATAAAATCAAAAAGAGGTAGGATTTAGATAGGCAAAGAGAGGAGGGAAAGGCATACAGTCTGAGATAACGGCAAGAACAAAGGTGTGGAACCAGCGCTTGGAGCCCCTGCTCCTGCACACGCGCTACCTCCTGGACTGCGAGCCCTTCCTCCTGAGCAGTGTCAGGGTGTTGCAGGAAGGAGTAGGTCAAGATGCCCCGTCTCGCCCAGCTTAAAATGTCATGAGAGAAATATCCATTGCCAAACAGTGCCATGGGGGTGAAACCAGAGCTAAATGGAGGTAAAATAAAGCGTTGTAAGAGCCCAACCAGCAGGGGTCTCTCCAAGCCTCGGGGATGCCCAGGGAAACTGCAGGAGTCAGGGGAGTCCGGTCTGCTCTGAACCTTTGTGGGGAGGGGCGGGGCAGAGGACGAGGTGGAGGGAGGGCCGCAAAGACGATGGGTTTCACCTTGGCCTTCTCTCAGATTGCCACCACAAATGCCTAAGCAGGGAAACACAGCCCACCAACTTTCAGTTGGTTCCTCTGGAAATGGAATAAAAGAGAGCAAGGCCAGTGGCCACCACGGAAGGGTCACGCTTCCTCTGGTCCAGCCAGATGGGATGGGCCCCAGGCCCCTGAGGGCCATGTGCAGGGCTGGGCCCTGAGGAGGTGGTCTGAGTGGGCGGAGATGTGCCCAGCTTGCTCCTTGCGTCTCCACGGAGCCCACCAGCCCTGTACCTCAGGCTCTGCGCTGCTTGCAGGACTCCGGGGGGCTCCCATGTGTCTTAGCTCTGTCGCGGGGCCGGCTGCTTTGTGTCCTGACCATGGTGGTGGCTACATGAACCTACACATGAGTTAAAACTCACTGTGGACAGGTATGAGAGTTAAAAGCTCCAGAGGGCCCTTGTCACAGGGGACCTCATCACAAGGGGACCCCATCACAAGGGGACCCCCACACTTTTGTGAGTTTTACCTCTAGGAGCTTTACTACATTCTCATGGCAAAAATAGAAGAAAAAGTCCCCTCATGCTTCCGACAGGAACAGGGCAAAGTAACCATTTTAAAATATGCCAGGACATTCTGTTCTTTTTAACAAGGCCTACCATCAAAAGCAACTATTTTATCAGGGCCTAACCCACTAGGGTTTTTTTTGTTTGTTTGTTTGTTTGTTTTTGAGACGGAGTTTCGCTCTTGTTACCCAGGCTGGAGTGCAATGGCACGATCTCGGCTCACCGCAACCTCCGCCTCCTGGGTTCAGGCAATTCTCCTGCCTCAGCCTCCTGAGTAGCTGGGATTACAGGCACGTGCCACCATGCCCAGCTAATTTTTTGTATTTTTAGTAGAGACGGGGTTTCACCATGTTGACCAGGATGGTCTCGATCTCTTGACCTCGTGATCCACCCGCCTCGGCCTCCCAAAGTGCTGGGATTACAGGCTTGAGCCACCACGCCCGGCCTAGGGTTTTATTAGAGCCTAATCAAATTGGGAGAAGACAAATCCCCAACTCCCGTCCCTTCAGCCATCCTGTCCCATGTAAGGGAAAGAAAACCTGAGAAGTTCACAGCCCAGGGCCCAGGCTCACTAAAAGGCTGAGGTCTAATCACAGGACTATAGAACACACCCCTTCCCACCACACCTCACCACCACATCACTAACGGCCTCTTTACCTCTGAGTAAAAGGTAAAAGTTTATTTTACCTAGTGCAGCATGCCTGCCTTTTAGCAAAAAATACAAGGCAGACTAAAAGGCAGAAAGCACAGTTTGAAGAAACAGAGCAAACATCAGAATCACACCCAGCTATGGCAGAGATGTTGGAATCATCAGGCTATGAATTTAAAACAACTGTGATTAATATGCAAGAGCGCTCGTGGAAAAAGTAGACAACTGTAAGAACAGATGGGTAATGTAATCAGAAAAGTGGAAATTCTAAGAATCAAAAAGAAGTATTAGAGATAAAAAACACTAACAGAAACGAAGAATGTCTTTGATGAGCTCATTAGCAAATAGGACACAGCTGAGGAAGGAATCTCTAAGCTTGAGAGTATGTCACTAGAAACTCCCAAAACTGAAAAGCAAAGAGAAAAAAAGACCAAGGACTGCAGAAGAAAGACCAGAAGATCCACGAACTGCGGGACATTGACAAAAGATACAGCACACGTAATGGGAATCCCAGAAAGAGAAGAAAAAGACAAAGGCACACAAACCACATTTAAAGTAGCAATGACTTAGAATTTCCCAAATTAGTGTCAGACACAGACCCAGGAAGCTCAGAGAACACAAGTAGGTTACATGCAAAAAAGAAAAGGAAAGAAAAAGTACACCTAGATGTCGTACATTCAAACTTCAGAAAATCAATGATAAAGAACGCACCTTGAAAGAAGCCAGAGGGAAAAATAACACCTTACCTACAGAGAAACAAAGATAAGACTTACATCAGCCTCCTCTTTTTTTTTTTTTTTTTAAAGACAGAGTCTTGCTCTTTTGCCCAGGCTGAAGTGCAGTGGCATGATCTGGGCTCACTGCAACCTCCGCCTCCTGGGGTCAAGAGCTTCTACTGTCTCAGCCTCCCAAGTAGCTGGGATTATAGGCGCCCACCACCATGCCCAGCTAATTTTTGTATTATTAGTAGAGACAGGATTTCACCATGTTGGTCTCGAACTCCTGATCCGCCTGCCTCGGCCTCCCAGAGTGCTGGGATTACGGGCGTGAGCCACTGCACCCAGCCACATCAGCCTTCTTTTCAGAAGCCATGCAAACAAGAAGAGAGTGGAGTGAAATAGCTTAAGTGTAGAGACGGAAAAATAAGTACACTGAGAATTGTATATCCTGTGAAATTATACTTTGAAAGTAAAGGAGAAATAAAGACTTGCATCAGACAAACAGAAATTTTGGGAATTTGTTGCCAGCATACCTGGCTTGCAAGAAATTTTTTTAAAAGTCCTTCGGAGAGAAGGAAAATTGCATAGGTCTAAAGGAAGAGCTTTAGAGAAGGAATAAGTAAAGGTAAAATAAAAACTTCTACTTTTCTTATTATTTGATCTAAAAGACAACAGTTTGTTCAAAATATTAAGAGCAACAGTGTAGGCAATTATTATAGTTGACATACAAATGAAAAGGATGACAGAAATGACACAAGGGACAGAAGAAAAGTATTAGGAATATTTTGTCATTATAAGGTATTTGTACTACCCACAAGCAATACAGTATTATTTGAAAGTAGGCTGGCTGAACATGGTGGCTCACACCTGTAATCCCAGCACTTTGGGAGGCCAAGACAGGCAGATCACTTGAGGCCAGGAGTTTGAGACCAGCCTGGACAACATGAAGAAAACCCATCTCTACTAAATATACAAAAATTAGGCAGTGATGGTGTTGTGCACCTGTAGTCCCAGCTACTCAGGATGGTAGGGGGTGGCTGAGGTGGGAGGATCACTTCAACTGGGGAGGCAGAGGTTGCAGTGAGCTGAAATGGTGGCACTGCACTCCAACCTGGGTGAGACTCTGTCTCAAAAAAAAAAATAGAAAAAGAAAAGAAAGCTGAAGTCACTCTAATATTTCAGACAGAGCAGACTACTGATAAACAAGTCAATTCTCCAAGAAGATGGAATAATCCCTAACTTGTACACACCTAGTAAGAGAGTGGCAAACTATGTGAGGCAAAAACTGATAGAACTACAAAAAAAAAAAAAAAAAAAAAAAAAAAGAATCCACTATTTTGTTGGAAACTTTAACGACCACTATCAGAAATGGACAGATCCAAATCCGGCAGGCAGAAAATCAGTAAGGACATAGTTGAACTTAATACCACCATCAGTCAACTGGATCTAATTGATAAGGCTAGAACACCCAAAAGCAGCAGAATACACATTCTCCTTAAGCTCACACAGAGCCTTCTATAAAACACACTTGAACAAATTTAAAAGAATACAAATCATACAATGGTCTCAGATGACAATGGAATTAAACTGGATATCAGTAGCAGAAAGATAGCTAGAAAATCCCAAAATTCTCGGAGGTTAAACAACATACTTCTAAATAACAACTGGGCCAAAGAGGAAATCTCAAGAGAAATTTTAAAATGCTGTGAACTAGGCTGGGTGTGGTGGCTCACACCTGCAAGCCCAGCACTTTGGGAAGTGAAGGTGGGGAGGATCACCTAGGGTAGGAGTTCTAGACCAGCCAGCCAACACAGTGAAACCCCGTTGTCTACTAAAAATACAAAAATTAGCCAGGCATGGTTGTGCATTCTTGTAATCCCAGCTACTCAGGAGGCTGAGGCGCGAGAATCACTTGGACTTGGGAGGTGAAGGTTGCAATGAGGAGCAATCACACCACAGCACTCCAGCCTGGGCCACAGAGTGAGACCCTGTACCCCTTACAAAAAAATACTGTGAACTAAATAAAAATTAAAATACA